AACCATTGACGCTCAAAAGATGTAATTATGCATATTTTATATTTTTTAAATAGTATGGTAATGTTTTTTCACTTTCAAATGTTTATTTTAGATTTTTATTGTTCTTATTAGATTTTATTGTAATTGGTATGTGAAAACCCATTTTAATTGGATGTATCCATAAATTTGATTGACTGATTGATTGATCGCTCCCGTTTCGTTCAGAGTAACTTCTTCATTAATGTTCACAAAACTGCTGGACTGGAAGTTCCTACAAGCATTGTTCTTTCTCTTTAATGATTGCTAAATTCGGGGTTGTTTTCCCTTCGACAAGTTTTGTCGCTCTTAAACTAGGTGGAGTGTTCTCGAATATAGTTCATTATTCTGTGGGGGCAGCTTTGTACATGGTTTATAAGGTCTCGTTAATCTACCCTCTTTTGTGAGTATTTTCGCACGAATGTTTTCTCTGCTTTCCAGACCAAATATTTAGAAATGGTCTGGGATGTGTCAAGGCTGGGGTATTGAATTCCTAGATTAGGAGTGGTGGTGACATTAGCGTATGCTCTGGACAGCCACGAAGTTCGGCTCTTAGATCTCTGGGGCAAGGTGACTCGTTAGGAGCCTGTGAAAACATATTTGCCCGTTGCGCAGCTGTCTCCGTTTTTGCGTCGTCCTTCGGTTCCAAACCTTGTCTGGTGAAATTTTCCTGCTAAGTTGAGCACATATGAACGAGTGCATACACGTATAATTTTAGATGTTGGATTCTTCATCTACCTCTCTGTCTGCTTTGGCAACCGCATTACACCATCCATGCTTTTGGCCTTCTCCTTTACTGGGCTTAGTTTGTTTCATTTTAGCGTCGAAGAGAGAGCGAGTCCGTTACAACACCTACGGGGGGCGTTTGTGGAGTGTGTTATTCGAAGATTACAGGTGACATGTGTTATCAGCTGATGCCTGGTTTACCCTGGGATTGCATGACCTCTACGCGTTTCGCAATGAATGAACCACGGGATAGACATATCCCTTCTTTACCTTTGTTAAACAATCAAAATTAAAGCGATGAAAATGTTTGTAGTGCGCAAGTCTAGATTTTGTATTGCTATCAGTATCTGTGATTGCTTGCTCCACACTCGATGATTTTGATATTTCCTGCTGCCTGGGGTGTGGCCTTGGACGTTAGAATGGATCCTGATGTATTTTCAAGAGACCCAAGGTTTGTTACCCGGTCGGTTCAACATTTTATCAAATGGTAAACAAAACTCAGGTTCCGAAAATTCCATTCAGTAATAGTGTTTTCCCTGCACATATGTGTACCATTTACCGAAAAACGGTTGCGGGGTCCTGCAATGGTAACCAGAGGTGGGTTGAAGTCATGAACCACGAGTTTCGGTCGGAACATCCCCACCAGGGAAACAGATCTGCTTTTCGAAGATCTGTTGCCCCCGAAGATTTTCACTTGAAGGGAACGACAGGTGTTACTAGATCTCTAAGTCGGCTATACACGGGTCATGAGCAGTATGAGACAGCTTTTAAGCTCGCTTTTTTATTTCTAACCTGTAATATTTGGTCTTTTTAAGTAGCGTAATAGTACACGAGAGTTAGCATTTTCAATCGTTTTGACTGTGCTTCAGAAAGAGTCATAATCCTTAATATGCATTGTGTAGACGTTTTGTTTTGTTCAGTTGACAACCCCCTCTTTACGAAAGACTGCAGATTTTGCTGAAACTGCATCGTTTTATAGGAAGGGAGCCATATCCTCTTCCTTCGCCAAGCGATTTAAGAGCCCAAGCTGGCTTACTCAATTTTTGGAAACTGGGAGGGCAAAGTAGACGCGTTAAGATCGCTGTAACCCTCACCCAAACCGTCATTAATCAGCCGTATAGATGAGAAAAAACAGTTACGAGAGTCATCCTTTCGGGTTTTACGGGTTTGCATTCGTGAATAGTTATTACTCGTCAACTCAGGTTCATTTCTCGTCAGAGAAGGTATCGACCCTTTCCGGGCACTCTCAGCTTATTTGCTGGTGATGGGGTAGGAGTTTGAGGTAGACTCAGACAACCGACACCGGTTGCTTCCTAAAGGGCTTACATTTGGTTGTAACATCAGATGTACCTGTAATATTACACTATTGCTAGAAAGATCACTTGTTCCCTGGTGTCAAGCAGACTCTGCCCTCTTTGTGTGATTATCGTAATGCAGATCTGCATTGGGTTTGTTAGAGGTTATCTTGGCCCCTTTCAATCAAAATAGATCGCGCACAAAGTTTCCATCTACACTAGTCCAGTACGAGCCCAGGCTAACCGTGGAGCCACCCTTAGGCGATTTAGAAACTACATATATAATTTCTCCCGCAATGCTAGGACAAAGTTAACAAGGATCACATGGGCTGGTGTTCCCCGTTCCATAATCCAGTGCGCCTCACTTCATTAAATTGAATCGCGCACCTAACCATGCTGAGGCCGCCGACGCGTTAAAATAATTGCGTAAATACTAATGCGTACAATACCGTGTAACAGGTGTAAAAGGGGGTTGACTGGCCTGCATGACTCCCCGTGCCCGGCGCGTGTTTTAGCCTTTTTTATGAGGGGCGGACTCTTGCAAATTTCGCTCAGTAATGGTTGTTGTTATATTTAATTCAATGCTAGTTTCTCACGCGACTTTGCTTCAGGTTAGGCACTTAGTGTGACGGTATTGTGTGACTCACAAAAGGCAAGATTCGTAGATTTCTCTTTTATGTGGAAGGGCAAGTTTTCTGTCTCAAAATTTATTTATGAGAGGGTCGTACGTGTGAGATCCCGAGTAACCTCTCTCTAGCAGATGTGATTTGCACGACTCGAACGAGTCGTACCACTTGAAAGGGTCCCCTCACGACAACTTTGCCAACCAAGTCTTTGAGTCGCTAATGAGATGCGTGTTCTCCAATTGCACGTGCAAGTGAGATGCAGTTTCACTATATGTCATACCTCAAGTTATCACACGAAACTATCACCCATTCACGACTAGTACCAATCGCGGGAATTGAAAGGCTGCTCTAACCACTTTTACCCTTCGTATAAGTTGAAGCACACAGAAACACACGCACCACGACTTTCACAATTTGAACAAGTGGCGAGTATTGGACAACCCTCATTGACTTGTAGCAATTTGTTAAGATTTTGTTGTATGGGTTTGGGGATTAGTTAGGGTTGGGAGAGTTCAATTTAGTTAAGGATTGGGAAGGGTAAGAGTTCATCATGGTGTTTATGTTAGGATTATGTAGGGGATTCTATAGCGATAGGCGCAGTCTGGGGTGACTTCCCATAACTAAATGCTAATAAGTATGCAAGAAGGATATTGAACTATTTATTCCTTATTAATATTCAATAGACTTCGCGCATAGTATATAAGCATGTGTTAATTATTCACAGTTGTCAGTTTGACTAACTTTAGTTGGAGTCGCCCCCACCCACCCGCCCCTTCTGTGTACTTTATTAGCACCTACGTGTCTTCCCCATCGAGCTTGCTCGTCTGGGGTGACTTCCCATAGCTAAATGCTAATAAGTATGCAAGAAGGATTTTGAACTATCACGCTTATAAAGGTACTAGAATAGTACCATCCCTCCCATAGCAAGTGCTGCATTGTTGCGCGAACGCGGTCGCTAAGCTTGAATATTCACGTCGCGTATTATACCTGGTAGTTTGCGGTCATATGGAAGCGTAAAGGTCAACATTGGTTGTTGATGAGCGAGCAATTATTGTGCAGTTGCGATGGGTTTTGTGGAGCCAGCGAGCCAGAAGCAGGAGCGGATTCGTCGATTATTCTCGAATTTATAGCGCTTCGTGTGAAGGCGCGTGGAGATGGTCCGTTTGTTTTGTAGCCAGCCTTTAATTCTTCTTTAGTGGATAGTACCTACAATTGCAAAACTCAACAAAATGCCACTTAAACCGTTCCGTTGAAGGTATCTTAGCTTTGTTTTGTTATATTTTGACTTTTGGACTATTTTAGTTCATGGGAGTTTCGACGACTCATCGCATTAATTTGTCCATGTGAATATTAATATATTCTTTCAGTGACACATACTACGTCCGGGCCGCCTGTGCTTTAACCGAGTAAAGTTACAATTTATAACGATGATAATGCAATGCAATGATTACTACAGTCAATCAAGTGTCATCAGCATGCAATGATTTGATAACAAATTAGTACGTAAATCATTACATAATGAGACAAATTTCAACAAATGTGAATTTACGGAAAAATTCTTTGAATTTATCATTTTAATTATTAATTCTGTGTAAGATAGTTGATTTAAGTCGACAAAATTTTGTTGGATTTGATTGTAGAATTTCTCCCTTGGGACTGAATATTTTTGACAATGGAAGAGAAAATGAAATTCATCTTCAACTATACCAGAGTTGCAAATAGGGCAGAATCTATCGTTGCGGGAAGTTTGATTATATCTTCCGGTTTCAATCATGATTTTGTGGTTACTTATACGAGTTTTCACTAAGTCTTTCTTATTGGCTGAATTTCTAATCAAGTCTAGATAACTTGAAATTTTATAGTCATATTTACTAAGCTGTAAAATTGTAGTTTCTTAGAATGATGGATTGTATGTTGCCAATATGTAATATATTTTTGTTTTATTATATCTATATAGCGTTTGATCTTAGCTTCACTTAAATTATTAGGATCAAAATCGGGCAGGTCATAATTTTCAGATATTTTCATAAGATTATGGTAAAAGCTATTTTTACCATTACAAGGAAGTTCTAGCGAGGTACGAAAGACTTGTTTAACAATAGTATCCTCGTTTTTACGCAAAAATACGATATGTAATAAAGGATGTTTTTGTAAATATTAATGCAACATTTGAAGCTTTATTGCTTATTTCTAGGTAACGCTTGCAAAATTTCAAGTGGGTTTTTTCAATTGGGGTATTGTCCCAAGCTTTAAAATCATGCTTTGCATATACACCCCAAATTTCGCCATTATATGACAATATTGGGGAAATCATCGCTTCAAATATTTTGCAAGCAAGAGATGGTTTTAATTTGCTGAAGTTTGTGTGTTTTCTTGAACTAAAAAGAGCATGAAGAGCCTTCTCTTTCAAGTGTTCGAGTGAGATATTACAATTACCGGTTGAGGAGATACGGGTTCCTAAGGGGCCGACCATTTAACTCTTGAGGGAGGGGGTGGGTGATTTCTGGTCATCAAGAATTTTTTTTCTAGCAATCTGGTGGTCAGGATATTTTTTTCCTTTTTTCCCCATAAGCTTTCTATTACATTTGTGCTGCATGCAATTTTTTTCTTCCGACAAGCGCTTGCAGGAAATCTTTTTTCAAAATCACCCACCCCACCCCCCCTGTCAAAAGTTAAATAGCCGGCCCTAAATATGTATATTCTTGGACAGTATCAATGGTTTCTTTACCTATATGGAATTCTAGATTGGAGTTTTTCTTCGCTCGTTTTTGAAAGATCATAACTTTGGTCTTTTTGGAATTTATATCTAACATCCAAGAGTTGTAGACTGCAAAACAGTCCGTATTTTTGCGTATTCAAGTACGCGCGAGCATTCAAACAAAAGGTCTGGAATGAGGCTGAAAACAGAGAGCTAGACTGGGGAGAGAGTAAGAGGGAGAGAGTAGGAGGACGAAAAGAGGTTCTTTCGCCCTCTCTCCCTAACAGCGCCCCTTCGCCATTTTTTCTAGCTAAAGTTTCCCCCAACTATCGGAAGGCCTGTTACAGGTTAACTACGTGCATTCCTTCATTTCCAACTTTTTATAGTATATATTCAGCTTGAGCGTCGAGGACTTTTGGCGTTTTGTTATTGATCAGCAGGAACGGATTTGGTGGTACTAACTTTTCAACTGCTTTTAGACTGCAAAACTGTCATTTTTTTCTTCCTTTCTTGATTTCTTTCTTTTATTTTTTTTGGAAACAAACAAGGAAAACAATAAGTTCAATCACTGGTGGGCGCTAAAAACACCACGGGGCTAATTCTTTTGCTGTAAAAACCACTGAATTTGGTTAACTTCTGTTTGATTAAGAAATACAAAATCTCCTGTTGTTTGTGTATAAACTTTTATGACTTAGCAGTAATAATCAATCACTTTTTCGCTGCTCTTAGACAAACGCAGCAACATTATTGGCTAGCGCTCTGTCCTAGTAACTGATTACTTGCAGCCTAGCAGCCCATTCTCTTGCTGCTCAATTTTTTCTCTCTCCCCGGGGTCTTTCCTTCTCTTCAACAGATTTCTTTTTATTAGCAGTCGTTCCAAGAAAATATATTTTTTTTCTTTCTGAGCTGAGGTTGTAATAATAATCTTATGGCTTAATTGGTTATGATACGTTCTAATGGAAATCTCCTGTGAACATCGCATTTCAGGGAAGAATTGGCTCCATTACGCATATAGAAAAAGCTAACAAAAAACTACACCGCGGAACGCGATAACAAAAGTACTAACGAAACTAAAACCGAGAAGTCCAAAGACTACTGCAAAGCTGATAAGAACAACGTGTATTGTTTTTTCACAACAATATTTCGGCTGGCCATATCAGCCTTCTTCAGGTTTACAGATGTTTCTGAAGAAGGCTGTTATGGCCAGCCGAAATATTGTTATGAAAAAACAGTACACGTTGTTCTGATCAGCTTCGCAGTGGTCTTTGGACTTCTCGGTTTTGCTTCTTAATATTTGGCTGATTAGATCTCTTTAGCAGAGATCCAACGTTTATAACCAGCAAGATCTTCGTCCTCGGTTTTTGTAGTTATTTTAATTAAATCAACTTCATGCAACGCAAAACACGAAATGAAGAATAAGAAAATTCTGCAATCTCTCGTGGCTACACCACAGATTCGAATTCGAAAGTTATGCGATAAGGTAATACAGTGTAGTAAGTGCCTAATAGCGGAGCTCCACGCGTGAGCAAAGCCTCATAGCTGAGAGAGGTTGGCCGTCGGTCCATCCGAGAAATTTTAATAGTCACGTGACCGAAAGTCCGGTTAGTCCACCTAGCTCCACCTGTCCGTCCTCACCACAGGGCAAACAATTTATAATCTCACACGTTCTAGCTGGTGTGGGAGTCTGAAAACTAATATTGGACAACCATGTCGTGATCAATTGACAGCTATTTAAACAGAGTATCCGCTGACTAACGTTGCATGACATATCGCGAACTCAGGTTTCGACCCGTTACATACATATACATACATATACTTTATTTACGCTCCAAATTTACAGAGTAGCGGTAGAGCTAATATCTTCGAGAAACTAAGTTGAAATAAAATAAAATATGCTCTATTACAATGCTAATATTATTTATAAACTATATACAACATTATGCATGCAGAGGAAAATATAACTTGTAGATCTACTGTGGAAAAGCTTCATATCTGAGGATCTCCTGCTTGAATTCTAGAAAATTTAATGTTTTGTAAGTGTCCGGGGGAGAGTTCCATATTTTGCTAGCTAAGTATGAAAAGGAGTGCAGACCGTAAGTCGTTGGTTTTGGGTTGGGAAGGGCCAGGATATGATTTCCGCGCAAATTGTAGGATAAAGACCGTACGGGGAACATATCTTTTAAATAACCTGGATAATTCGCAAAGAACAGACTCTTATATAATGTGATCATGAAGTTCTGGAGGCGTCTAATGAATAGAGATTTCATGTTTACTTTGCTTAGTAAAATGTCATATGGAGAGCTGTAGTCCTGTAGTATAAACCTAAAAATGCGCTTATTCAGGTTATCCACTTTGTCGGCATTGCGCGCACCACAGAAATGCCACACAGAAGAACAGTAGTAAAAATGTGGCAAAATAAAGGCTTTATAAAGCTTCAATAGCGTCTCCTTATATTATTAATAAGTTTCCGAAATCTAAGCATTACGTTAAATTGCTTTTTCTCGTTAACAATCATGCCATTGTTTTTATACCACTGATTTGCGACATTAACTTCTTGACAAATGCGCTCTTCCAGCGCAAGTGAGGTTACGTGGTTTTCTTTGAAGTTATCTGCTGACAAATGGATTTTGTAGCAGGCTCAACTCCAAGTGAATTTCTTTGCCATAGTTACAACTTTATAGTTTGAAGTAAAATATAAAGTTATCAACGGGAGCTTTGCCTTTAGCCTTGGCTTAATCTGTCAAATCTATGTATTAGCATCGTTCTTACTACTGCACCAGAGACTGAAGAACTGAACGAGTCAAAGCTAAGGTAGCAATTAGTAATAACTAACCTCACTATGGGGATCATAAAAGCTGATATTAGTTTTATACAAAGCTTAATTTGTATTTCTTTATAACCACCTTTCTGTTGGTAAGAATCGAAGTTAATCCCGACTCATCAGTTCCTCAAACTTCTTGAGATACGTTTATCAAGCTAAGCCGCTAGGAAACGTTGCCCATCTGACGCTTACTGTGCCTTTAAGTAGGACAGAAACTTTTAAGAACTCCTTTCTTATCCGTATTTGTCGCTTGTGCAATGATTTACCTCTCAAAATCAGGGACCTATGCATCGGTCAAATCGAAGCTTCAACATCCCCCCGGGCAACCCCCCCGGGCATTTGACTATTTTGAAAATTATTGTTCAAATTCCCCCCTACCCGGGCCAAAATGCCGTTCAAATACCCCACACTAGGGTCCATTCAGGTGATCAAATGCCTCCACCCCGGGGACATTTGATAGGCACAAAAATGACAGAGGGACGGCGGAAACGCCTTCAGTTGTCGAACAAAGACTTTATAGATATAACAAAAACTGTGAAACACTGTTAGCGTATTTACTACGAACAAAAGTCTCGTGCAAAGCGGCGGAAATCGCTGCTACAAGGTCACTGAATGCTCGGCTTTTCTTCGTCATGTCACATACAAAGCGTTCTATAAAAAAAGATCCCACCCATTGAGATCACTACATCATGACCATTTCACTGACATGCATCATCGCTCACCTTATTAATTAACGTACTTGCAGTAGGTCAAAGTAGTTGACCTGAGCTTTTTATTTTATTTTATTTTATGTTGTTGTATTGAATCGCCGGTATAGGGATTGAATTTCATTGTAAACACAACAAAAAAATACATGCCTGAATCCAATATTAAAAATTTTAATATTTAAATACTTCAAATACGGCACAAAGCTTGTTTAATATAAGCCCTTTCCTCGTAACCAATTGGCGACAAAGGCACAACCTTTTCCACGAAAATCCTATAACACTGCGTCTCCCATGATACCTCGCCACGCCAAAGATTTTACATGAAATCGAGGGTGCAGTTCAAATTCCCCACCCCTAAAGCATGGGGACCAAATTCCTCACCCCCTGGAAGACTCTGATAATCAAATTCCCTCCTCCCCGGGACGGCAAAGGTGTCAAATACCCGGGGTATGCCTGGGGGGCATGTTGAAGCTTCGATTTGACCGATACGTTACCTCTCAATTTTTCGTAGAATCTCATCTCCTTTTCCTATTATGCTAAGTTTAATTCAGTTTTCCTATGATTGTATATTTAATGTAGCTTTTATTCGTATTTATTAGGATTATCTATGATAGTGAATGCGGTTAATGTCACATGCCTTAACATATTTTTAATTGTATTTTTATCCTTTTTAAATTGTATAATTATTGATAAGTTTTTCATGTAATAGCAGGTGGGTTATTTTAAGGGAATCTTGTATTCTGTTTTAAGTCAACCTCAGACAAGAGAGGATAAAGGGGACAGAGAAGGCATCCCCCATACACACCCTATTCCATAGGTAATTTGTCTCGAGTTATTTTTAGAATCAGGATAAAGTTACCTCGCGCGCTGCGTGGATGTTTCGTGGAGGTTTCGCAAGACTAAACGCCGCGCAAAACATGTCGGGCGAAAGGCAATGAAAGCGTAAAGAGATCGAGAGCATTCCTGAATATTGAAGCGAAATGAGTCGGCGCTCACCTGGGAAAAGGGAATCGCTGGACTCTTTGACAACCCGTGAAATCAGTTTAACTCGAAGTTGTCGTAACCTCAGTGCTTTAATAAAATGAGAAATTTCGCCGGTCTATTGAAATCGGTCGTTTGTACAATAAAGCAAGTAGGACGCCAAGTGTTATTGTTGTTGAATAATAAAAGACTACTAAAAGAATAAATATCAAACCAGAAATTGCTCAAACTGTAAATTATAAATGATCCTCAGAGAATATATTCAGTGTGTTAAGGATTTCCCTGCTGCACTGTTCGCTCTATACAAGAGAGGAAGGATGATTCTTTTTTAATTTCCGTTTCGCTGACACAGCTTTAGCAGAAATCTCTGTGTAGTCGTTTTCGTCGACAAAACGGATAGCAATATCGCTCTCCGCGTCTTCCGCCATTTTGTTCTGCGTCAATTCGTGAGGGACGCGTGCCTCTGAGCGTGGGTCATCTACGCGGAACACCTTCGTGCTATGTGATTGGCTGTTGTCTAATCCCCCTTGAGATCTGTGGTGTTAGAAATAACTCAAAACGAATTACCTATGGAATAGGGTGTGTATGGCGGATGCCTTCTCTGTCCCCTTTATCCTCTCTTGCCTCAGATAATTAGTATTTAGTAGTTTACTGACATTGCAATCTGGAACTTGATTCAAGTTAAAGATAAAGTTATTTGCATTCAGCTTTCTTATAAAAACCTATGCAGGGACGAAGCAGTCTGGCCTGCGACGGTCGAAAATCGTTATTCTGCAGTTTCATGCCGTCTCTTTCACATACTGTAATGCCAATGTATTAAGAGCGAATGTCTGTAAATATCGAGCAACCGGCGGCCACAGTCAAAAATTAAATTTCGCTCATATCTTGTCCATACATACTTATTAGTAAGTAACTAAACGTGGTGTAGTTTGTTTTTCTAAAGGCCGCTTGGATTTGGAAAAAATGTCAATTTTCGTGGTCGGCGACTTGAAAACAACCAAAATTTGAGGCAAAATGAGGGGGTCTCAAAACTTCGCTCGCACGCAAAAAGGATGAAAGCGTGGTAAAATATTCCCCGATAAATCAATTTGTAAAGGGTTTTGGCTCTAGTATGGCGGTTAATTCTTATCTTAACGATAATGTGGAAGGTAAACAACTTTATTTTAGTTTTGGTTCTTTTTCAACTCAACGAAGTTTAAATTTAGACCTAAAGTCGCGATTTAATTTTCAGGCATGTGCTACACCTTGGTTTTTCCTGAAACTCAAGCTATAAGTTAGTTAAGCATTGTACTAAAACATATGTAAGAACTGGCTTGGGTAATTTAATTTGGGCTTCAGACGAACCTACTGAACTTGAACAAATTTTGTGTGAAATATGAGACATTTGAATAATTCGCCAACGCCTTGCTGTTGCCGAAAGGGATCATGGGCATTTCCTGAGAAGAAACCTGATGTACTTCTAAAGTACGATAATTAATTTGCTAACATGCAATAGAAATTAACTTACCTTTATAGTTTGGGCCCTTTTTTTACTTTTTCTATTCTCGAGCTCCAAAATTCTGCTGGCGCTAACGCATTCTGTAATTTGACCTCTAACGAGAGGTCATTGGAGATGGGCCAGGTTATTAAAATGTCACTCAAACCGAATGAGCGTTATGATCTAAATTCTTAAGGTGCCGGTTAAACAAAATATATCACGAGAAAAATATGTTTTTAAGACATTTTCGGCGATTTGAAAGATGTTTCTACCAATTCATAGAATCAGTTACAACATACAGCGAGGAAGTGTGACAAGACAAGACGCTTTGGGAGCGTATATTTGGGTGTTACTGTAAATTAAAGCGCACAAACTCATTGCAACACATTGTTGTCCAGCATTTTACCCAAATATTGTAACATTTCCTTGACAGTATGGAGCATTAATTGTTTTTGTAGCATCTACATAAACTGAAGTTCCTGGATTCTTCTCTATATCAGTGACAAAGCTTAAATTGGCCAGAATTAACCCGGTGATTCAAACTGTTGTAAGCACTCTAAAATGGATAATTGCATGTACAGAGGGGCAAATTCTTACTTAAAAGCCTATTTGGATATCTCATTCCACCTAAATCGCCTGTGCTTTGATGCTTAGACGACAGATACACCTTCCCTCGTTTACGAACTAGTTTTGGAGTTGCCCCTTAAATAAAAACTTCACCCTGTTACAGTTACTTCTGTACCTGTTTAAGTGTAAACCTTTTCTATTTTTAACGTAACAATGAATTTCAGACGACAATGGTGTATTTTTCCGAATACTCTTCCATACAATAAGTGTCACTTTACATGTTTTCGGTAACAAAGATTTTAATTTGTTCATCGGTAGTCTGCTAGGTGCATGACGGTAACCAGCAGTTCGTTCCATGGTCAGATCGTTCCATAAAATAGTCAGTTCGTTCCACAAAAAAGTCAGTTCGTTCCACATATGAAAAGTCAAGTAAATCTTTCTAAATTTGTTGAGTGAACTTTATCGAGAAGAAAAACGTCTCGTTCATACCACAGGCTGAGAAAATAATAATCGATCCTAAGTCGATTCCAACCTAAATCGTTTGAAAACCAACAAGAGACGATTTCAACCAGCCACGGGCTTTAACATTTAAACCGCCGCTTTTAGAGTTTTTGAGCAAAAATCAATCGATGGTTTTGAAAGATATAGCACAACAAGTAAAAGCTATGCCGTTCTGAAGGTACAGTATTTCGAAGCGCTTGTAACCTAAACATTTCTTTGGAGCGCCCTATTTATGCAAATTTTGAAAACAACGCGAGTTTCGAATTACAATCTCGATTTTACTTTGTATGGTAATTTGTCTTGCCAAAAATATAATTGACTAGCCTGATTTAAAGCAATGGAATTGTTAGTTCTGTTACAAATAAATTTCCCACGACGAGATCTCAATTC